CCATAGTTCATAATAGAATGAAAGTAGGCATGGTAAACCATCTTCAATGTTTCCTGTGACATAAAAGGCTTAATTGATCTCATCGCATAGCAAGCTGCATTTAATTTAGGTATAATTTGTTCAATATGTATTTTCCAAGACAGTGTACTGTCTACATGTATTCCAAGGAATTTTGTATCAAGTACTTTACAGATTAATTTGTTGGCATAACTGATGTCCAGATCAATTTGGTGGTTGTTTTTAGTTGTGAATGATATGTAATGGGTTTTATCAAAATTTAATGGGAGTAAATTGGCTTCGAACCATCCGTTTAAGGATTCAAATACAATATTTATGTCATAATGCCAACTGGTTCATCAATTTGCAGTCTTTCTTAATAAGTTTATGTATTCTACATTATTTCATACATCAGAAATGTTAAAAATTACTACTCCTAAAATTCCATTACATTTCAAAATCATTTACCTTGTCATTATTCTACTTCTGCGACATTAAGATCCAGCTAGATAATTTGAGGGGGGAGTTACTCAGCAACATTTCCAGTAGTGAGACTACACAGAACCAATTTAATGGATGGCAGAAGAACATGAAAAATTTGAGAGGAAGTGTTAACAACCTAAGTGACGCACTATCTTGGCATCTGTCTTCTGAGGAACTGCAAAAAAACCCCAAAACCTCAGTCAGGACAACCAGTGTACCAGCCAAGGTTCGAACTCAGCACCTCCCGCTTACCGTTATGCAAATCCATTTGGTAGGAGTGATTTTAACTTATTTACTGAGATTAAAGTCTTCCAGAATCTGATGCTGCGTAGTTTGTGCACATTAGGTATCAATCTTAATTGTGTGCATCTTGTATACTTTTGTAGATCTTATTATGTATTAATGTTTCACAGGAACCTTCTGCCCCCCATACCCTGAAGATGGTGGCAGCAAGTTTCTCCACTTGTCACTACCTTAACCTTTATGGGACGGGCCATTTAAATTCCGATAGTGGCAGCGGGACGGAGTTAATTTAAATGCCCACCACTGTAGAGTAATAAAAATTGTAATCATGTTACTCAAAATGCTGTGATTTCTACAATTTTTGTGATAAACGAACGAAATAAACGCTACGTTTATCTAGAAAGTATATAGAATCAGATACTGTAATTTACAGATTTTAGAATCTGTAAAAATTGTTACATTGATTCCAAAAACTTTTTCCCCAATTTTGAGCGTCTGTCCACAAAAAATGCATAAAGCTTCTGCACAATATGTTTCTGCAGTATAAATGCATAGTGCTGAGGCACTCTCTCCGTACTGCACAATCTCCAGTTAGGTAGGCTTCCTGTGTACCGGAGTGTGGGCGAGTTCTTATCCTACATTGCCATATGAAACTCTGTTTGTTTATTCACCTATGTCCACTATCCACACAGAGGCAGTTCTTGGAATGTCACCTCATACCACTTGCTTCCATGTCCCTTCAGAATAAACTGTAACGCATTCTGAATGGTGTGATTTACGAGTGGCCTCTGAATTTCGACTCCTTCAATGCGAAAAAGGGCCATGGTGCATAGTTGAAATTGCGATGTTTTATAAGAGTTAGGAATAGAGGACACCACTCGCCATCATTGGCTTACTTCCTGCTAATACGAGACTAACATTGCGCGTGCGTGCTTCGCGTGGAAAACAAAGTTAATTACAGACAAAGTGCATGAATTGCGACGTCAGACTCTGCATTCAGTGACATGCAACATTCAGTTAGATGATGCAGGAGGGAAGACAGTCTACTTATAAAGCTGGTGTCCAAAAATAATGTAAGCACAACAAGAATGTCTATCTTAAAATTTCTTAAAATTTCTATCTTAAAACACTGTGCGCACGCGCGGACTGCACATACCCATACGGTGTTTTTCGGCCACTCGGCTTTACTTTAAAGGTCCCCATACGGTGTCTTTCGGCTCATAAAGGTTAATTCAAATGAATCCAGTCCCTCTCCTGTCACATCTTTTTGAAGATCTATTCTATCCTTCAAAAATTGTATTTATTTCCTTCCTCAGAAAAGAGTTGGATATACTGTATTATTTTGAATGCAAGGCACCCTCAAAATTTAAGACACATCCAGTTTTTGAATGTGGGTTTTAGAAAAACGAATTAGAAAGGTGAACATTCCTTGAATTTAAGCTGCACCTCAATTTCTCAACAAGAAAAATATGAAAATGTGCATCTTATATTCGAAGTAATGTGGTATACACATACATACACACACACACACACACATCACAGTATATAAACAGACTCCATACCTGAAATGGCAATCTTGGATTGGATCCATAATAGACTTTGAATCCTTCAATCTGACCATTCTGATGCTCCCTAGGCACATCACCCCATTTCACTACAATTGTTGTAGAAGAAGTTGCGTTTGCTTCTACACCCATTGGCCCAAACGATGGAACTGAAATTACACACATCATTAAAACGATTCAAATAAAAAGCTTACCAGAGAAGTAACACAATATGGTGTAACGATACTGAGCATTACATCAATTTACTGACTTCTGTCCAGTTACAGATAATGGGGCTGCAATAGCTTAGTCAGTACAGTGACTATTATTCAATATGTGCTGGGGGCTCCTGGGGGAGGGGCTTATAAAGTGGCAAAAGCATTAAAGGGCAAATTACTTCCGTCTCATGCCAAGGTCAAGAATGAGTGAAGCTATACTCTACTCCATCATAGACCTTCAATTGCTACATACTTTTCTCAGAAGAAAATCAGAAGCATTAATTTCAATGTGAATGTTTTCAGAACAGACAGTTTATGTGAAAGTAATTGTTTCCTAAGACTTCAGTCTTGCAGGTTATGACAATGTGAAGTTCCACCTGCCTTTCTGAGGAACATGCTGTCTCCATTTTCAGGAAAATGAGTCTGACCTTGAAGACGGAGGAGGGAGCCTCAAAAAAACATTGGTTAACAACCTACAAGACCAACAGTGCCAAAGTCCAAGAGATAATATCAATTTTGATTTCCATTAAAACCATGAACCCCATCAATATACAATATTTTTTTACTTATGATTTATTTAATAACACTGTCAGTGTCTCATACTACACAGCATGAAATGGTAGGACAATGAGTGACAAGAGAGTGGGGGGTACTATACCATTATTTCTCTCGAAGCACTGAAGAAAACCATGAGAAACCTCATTCAGGATAGTTAGGCTACAAGTCAAAATTCAAACCAGGCACTTAAACCTCATCAATTGTTTTCTAATTAAAATATTAATACATGTTACAAATTAACTGGGGCATGGTAAGCAATCCCATGAATTTTATGACTTTCTCAATCTTATTTTAACCCTTTCCACACTGAGCTTGTTGGCGAATTCAGAATACACAACTCTCACAAAATTTGTATGTATATGTCTGTAACCTAACCTAACTTAATCCAATTGAATATAACGTAACATGTGAAAACACACACAGTACACAAAGGGTTAATCAGTCTGATTAATGCTTTGTCATATGAATCCTTTGGCCACACGAATGATGCATACCAGATTCACGCGTACGTTCGACAGCTATGGGACTTGGTTTTGAACTGCCAACATCATTGTAAGCCTGCGTAATGATCTCATACTGGGCAAATTCTTCCAGATTTTCCAAGATGTGAGAATTTGCTGTATGATCGTCTATAGTGACACTGCGCCACTTCGCACCACTCCCTGAGCCATCTACTTCTCGGTACGAGATGTTGTATCCTCGAGGATTTCCAAACCATTCCACTTGTTGCAATGGCTGGAATTAGGCAAGAATGGATTGTATGTTAAGTGTAATTAGTAAAAGTATTGGCCTAAAAGAAATAATTAATTAAACTAATCAGTTCTCAATTCTGGTTTCACTGGATCACATGGGTGAAAAACAGCTGTAAGTTACAGGGTAAATGAATATTCAACTGTTTTTATTATCATCTACTGTAACAAGAAACATTTCCTGGACTTCGCTCAAACAGTTACACTCTAGACAAAATATACTAGATGCATATTCATTCATTTCCTTTATTTTCCATATATCCATAGAGGTAACAAACCTAGGATGTGGAACAAGATACATATACAAGATTACATGAGTCATACAATCAAAATCACTTATATTAATCTATTAACATAAATAATAATATAAAGTAAAAAATCTAATACGATAATTTAAAAATAACTTACTATAAAACTTGAATGAATACAATTTTATTTAAATTACCTATATTAACTGAATTAAATACATTATAAATTTACACACTTATGACCAATTATGTTGATAATATTCATTCATGGAATAAAAATGGGTGCCTTCAAGCTTTAAGAAGGGTTTCCTACCTTTCTTCAGCAATACACACAGTGCCAGCTGTAAAGGACAAGTTTCTCCTAGTGTCCTATCAGTCAAACAGAATCGGTGATTCTTGTCCTGTACCAGGCGCTCCTGATACTGTTGTCATTATTAATGAAGTTGATACAAAGCAATATATACCTATACTTCTAAACATAAGCCAGAATAGCTTAGTCAGTTTAGTAACTGGTCATGGGGTTTGATTCCAAACAAGAAAAGAAATCTTCTCTTTGTCAATGTTTTCAGTCTCTGGGATCTCCTACACAATGAGTACAGGGGCATATTTTGACTGACATAAAGCAACCAGAACAAATCTAATCAATCGCATACATCTAGTGTTGAGGTTAAGAAAATGTAGCACTACTATGTCCATTTCGCTATACATCATGGAATGTTGCTTAATCAAAGCACAGTACCAGCTTTATTTTATGCATTAAAGGCAGAACGACAATAATATGGCATGTAGACCTGTTCCTAGGCAACAACTGTGAAATAAGCAACTGTACAACAGCTGTTGCTAAATAATTGCTCTATAAACAATGGCCTTTGCTGGTCAATTGCTGAGTAGCAGTCACATGGACTTCCAAAACGACACAAATGTAAGAGGGGAACAGTGTTTTCTATTTGGTCTGTGCTGAGAGGATATACACAGGATGAGTTAGTGGACAGAGTTAGTGCAGTGGAGTGAAGTGAGTTAGTTGGTGAGTGACTGAGTTAGTTGAAAGTCAACAGCTGAAGCAAGCAGTTACTATGGGACAGTCACTTGCCGATAAGAATGTGAGCACAGAAGTTGAGGACATTGTTGAGAACTGTCACCAGGCAACGACTGGTGAAGACACAGCAGACTGAAAACTTATTACATGGCGTACTGAACTGCAGAGTGTGTGAATTAGAGATAGAGCTATAGTTACTTGCAATTACAATCTGTAAGGGTTAAATAAATCTAATTACAAACTCATACTCATGATGTATATTAGATCTTGTTTATGCAACAAAAGGCACAACAAAAATATTTACAATCCATCTCGCTAATGCAACTGATGGCACAACAAGAATACTTACAATCCATCTCACTCGGAGCTCAGTGGCACTCATTGCACGGACTGTGACGTTATATGGGGGATGATCTGGAGGTGCCTGGATTGTCTGAAACTCCTTGGTGGGCTCTGAAGGGGCTGAGGCTCCAACAACATTGTTAGAAATAATCCGCAGCTTGTAAAGCATAAATGGGACCAGCCCAGTGACTGTCAATGTTGTAGCGTCTGGATCTGACACCTCATACACTGGAACCCATGTTGCATTTCTTGCTGTCTGAGCCTGCAAAACAGGTTCGCAGCAGATAAAATTATAGGATTAAGAATTACTGCATACTGTTTAACAACCTGTAGCTAGTGCCAATTTCTCCTGTGCTGGAGGGCTGGAAGGGGCACAGAAAAAAATTTAAAAATTCATCAATTATTTGGAGAACAACATCAAGGAAGTTGAGGGTAACTGATACAGAAGACATGTACAATGGCATATATGAGTTGCTTTTGCAATGGTGAGTGTTCTAACAAAATCATACCATCAGTTTAATATTTTCTCTCAGAATAAAGACCAGGAAAACAAAGATGATAGTTCAGTTTCAAAGTGCATTAACCCTAGTCCCCTCCAGTACCACAAAACATCTGCAATCATGTGCCGTTCAAGTTCATATCATTTATATCAACATATTTATTACTCTATACTTTAATATTACCACCAGTTTTACAGCCAGATTTAATTCTGATGCCCCTTTGCAGCACAATAATTACTACCTCTACCACGTCCTTTAACATTTATAAAGTTCTGCATTCTGCCCACACAGTGTATTTATGTGTTCCACATGGTTCTCACAACAAACAGCGATTATTTTCCTAAACAGCGTTAACCGGCTGGGGTTTGTAGCGGAGACGTAATGTGTTTCCTGTGAGGTACGGACTGAACTCTGCATTCTGCCCACAGAGTGTATTTATGTGTTCCGTATGGTTCTCACAATAAACAGCGATTATTTCCTAAACAGCATTAACCGGTTGGGCTTTGTAGCGGAGACGTAATGTGTTTCCTATGAGGTACGGACTGAACTCTGCATTCTGCTAACACAGTGTATTTATGTGTTCCGTATGGTTCTCACAATAAACAGCGATTATTTTCCTAAACACCATTAACCGGCTGGGGTTTGTAGCGGAGATGTAATGTGTTTCCTGTGAGGTAAAGACTGAACTCTGAATTCTGCCCACACAGTGTATTTATGTGTTCTGTATGGTTCTCACAATAAACAGTGATTATTTCCTAAACAGCATTAACTGGTTGGGCTTGGTAGCGGAGACGTGTGTTTCCTGTGAGGTATGAACTGAACTCTGCATTCTGCCCACAGAGTGTATTTATGTGTTCCGTATGGTTCTCACAATAAACAGCGATTATTTCCTAAACAGTATTAACCGGGTGAGCGTTGTTATAGAGACACTGTATGAGATCCAAAGTTCTCATGGTCATCAAGCTGAAGATTACTGTCTTCAGGATGGAGGCAGTGGGTTTCTCAGCAACAAAGGAAATGACGTACAAGACCATATAGTATAAGATCCCAGAAGACAGTAATCTTCAAACAGATACTGTGTTTTGTGTGAGGTGAGAACTTGGTGTTCAAATATTATTCAGATGAGCAGATTCTAAACAGATGTGATGATCATACTGTGACATGTTGCGCAAAGGAGAACCCCCCCACCAGCAGTGACGTGGCGGGTGAGTCAGCGCTCCCCTCCCCCTCCTCCGCACGGTAACGTAACGGTGACGCCACGGTAACGCGGAACCGCTTCCCACTGTGATGTGGCCCGCAACAGGCACCACTGCGGATATATAAGTGAGCTGCACAACGGCTGCGAGTCAGTTGTACTGTGACAGTCGCGGAGTGTGTTATCAACGAGTTCTCAGTTCGCAAGTTACGAGCTACAGACGCGTGTGCGAGAATCAGTGATAGTTCGGGATAACCAGTTATATCTGGAGTGTGTAATTCAGGGAGACTTGTATAGCTCCCGCGTTATTAGTACGTGAAGACAAGTGAAGATTGTGTTAAGAGATTTTGTTGTAGGGTTTGTAAAGTGTGGAAACCCGTAATATTGTGATAATTAATTGTAGCCGTTATTTGTAGATTGTTAAATAAACCAATTAACCATCTCTACGGCGTCTTCAGTAACGAAACACGTTACACTGGTGTCAGAAGTGGGATTTGAACTTACACACGTGACCGACGGGATTTGGACTTACACACGTGACCGACGAGATTCGATCTCAAGACACGATACATTGGTGTCAGAAGTGGGATCAGTAACGCAAACACGTTACACTGGTGTCAGAAGTGGGATTTGAACTTACACATGTGACCGACGGGATTTGGACTTACATACGTGACCAATGAGATTCGATCTCAAGACACGTTACAATACTGTGACATGTTGCGCAATGGAGGACAACCCCTCCCTACCGAGCAGTGATGTGACAACTCTGGCCACAGTGAGGTGGCGGATGAGTCAGCGCTCCGTCCCCGCCACTCTCCCCACGGTGACGTAACACACAATGCGCGGTGACGTAACATGGCATGAGTAAACAGCGTTGCTAGGCTATATGCAAACACGGCGACATGGCACCGGTTCCTACTGTGACAAGGCACTCACTATGTAACAGGCAAGCACTGCGGCTATATAACGGAACTGCACAGCCGCCAGAGTGAGTTAACGTCTAGCCGTCCCCAGAGACAGTTAAAGTGTATCAGTAGCCGAAGACAGTTCTCCAGTCAGCAGTGAACGAGTAAAAGTGTGATAATCAGTGACAGCTGTGATAACTGAGAATTAATTGGGTGTGTGTAACACAGTGACACTTGTATAGCTCCCGTACTGTGAAAACGTGTAGACTACTGACAATAGAGTGATTTGATTTGCGAACAGGGTTATAAATTGTGAAACCCCGCAACACTGTCATGAATAATTGTAGCCAAGATTTGTAGGTTGTTGAATAAAGCAATTAACAATCTCTATGGCATCTTCAGTAACGAAACACGTTACAATATGTTACACTTGGGATTACTGAGTTTTTGGTCTTCATCCATCATCCAGTATAAGAAGCTAAGTCTCTTTCCATCCTCAGGTGAGGCGGTGGGAGACACCTACTCTGTTCGGTCTGTTAGTAAGAGCTTACCTCAATCATTGGACAACCTATGTTAGAATAAATAGTCATGTGATACACTTGAGATCAGGTTTTGTCAATGGGATATAACAGGGAAATTAAAATAAAAATTGTGGTAATGCATGTATAGGCTGACCCATAGAGACTGTCCAGTGATTGACGTTAGCTCTTTCTAATGAACTTGACAGAGCAGGTGTCTGCCAATCCCCTCACCTGATGATGAAAACAGATCCAGTTTCCTAAATGTCATTTGTATACTAGATGATGGAGGAGGTCAATAAACCAGGTATAATCCTGAATATTATTTAGATGAATTTCAAACATCAAAGGCATAACATCTTCAAATTATTATACACCACAGAGTAGCATTAACTTCAGTGAGCATAAATGGTAATGCATTACCTCAACTATCCATTTAGTAATGGAGGAATTTCCATCAAAACCAGGAGTGAACTGCAGCACAACAGAAAACGCTTCAATGTTTGTCACAGCCAAGCGAGTAGGAGGATGTGGCAGAACTGGTTCAATGCCAGACTGTATGGTGGCTACACGAGCTGGGCCCAATCCTACACCAGTTCGAGCACTCACCTCAAACCGGTAATGCGTCGTAGCCTTAAAATGCACAAAACAAATAATGACAGAAACACCGTACTGTTGTAGCACGACTTCTAGACGAGCAGCACCATCTAGGCTGAACATATGGCTTGAGATCACTGCGGCTTACTGAACAGGAAGATAGGAAAGGGCTGGCAAGAAACTAAAGAGAAAGATTGCGGGGAGATGGAAAACACTGTGAAGTATTCCTCCAGCCACCTGTCTAAAACAGAAAAGATGTAAGTGGTGACGATGGAGGAAGAGGAGGAGGAGGAGGAGGGAAGGGGAAGAGTGAGAGGGATGGGAAAAAGAGGATCTCATGACCCTCACCAGCACAGCCATTCTTGGTTCTGAGTCCTGTGGGATTCACGACTCTGGGAGTCATGCAGAACTGACCTTTGAGAAGAGAAACAAGATGATTTATTTAACAACACCAGTAGCTGAGACTATACAGCATTAATTGCCAGGATGATTAATGAATGGTGAATTGGAAAGGCTGTGGAAGGAAGCAGCTTGTGTCCTATTTCAAGGTACTATCCTGGCAACGACCTGGCAGGAGTGAAGCAGACCACATACAGCTTCAGTCACGAAAGTTGAAGAACATCTCTCCAAATAAAATTGCTTTGGTGCTACCTCAGGAAAATGATAGTACACAAATTTGGGAGCGAAGTGCAAAATCCCAGAAATGGCTTACTGGTTGAAAAGATTTCACCACTGTTCTGTATTCAGAAACCAATTATGGTCAACCACCAACAATCAGACTCATTTCCAGGGTAATATAGTCAGAACCAATTATATGTATGAGAAAGTTTGCACAATTTGTTTACACCAATTTCTTTAGTGTGAGTTTCTTACTAGTTACTCAATCATTCAGTTCAATGTGCAACTATCGACTGTGACTGGTTTCAGATGACCATCTGCATAACATTAGCTACACCTGCATGAGACTGGTCCCTAATGCATGCAGTTGGTTAGCTAAAATATTCCCAGAAACTGCTGTGACCTCTACTGTTAATTTGTGACCATACCTGCAGATGGTTCACCATGATGTTCAAAGTGTCGGATGTTAGATTTTCCACCTTCAGTGTTTCTGGCTGATCCTTCACCATGTATGTTAACTGATAGCCTGTCAGAATTCCATTGATCTGTTTTGGTTCATTCCATATCACTTTCACTGCACGGTCACTGACGTCATCAAATTGAAGACTGCCCACTTCACCTGGCACTGTGAGAATGAACAATAAATCATAACATCACATAAAGAGGAAAAGCTGTATCTGTAAAAGGCCATGAAGGCCCTTATGGTTGAGAGACCATAGGATCTAATGTAACCAGGTAGACCGCTGTCAAACCATCAGAGCAACCTGCTACGTCAGCTTGTGGAGGCAGGAGGTCCCTCACAAACACGGGCACTTTCTAGGAGACTACACTACCAGAATACATGTCATCACATCCCACTCCATGATTTCAGTCTGTAAGTGAACCATACCGACCGAGCGACCGCCACTTGTCAGCAAAGTTTAGTGCCAACTTTTGTAGATAGACAGTGTCGCGTGGTCAGCGCAACGAATCCCCATGACCATTAATTTCGGTTTTCTAGAACAGAGCCACTATTTCCTTGAAATAACTCCTCAATTATCATCACGAGGCTGAGCGGACCCCGTTTCAGACCCACTACTTCTCAGAAAAAATCTGGTAATGCTGGGAATCGAACCCGGACCTCTGGATCTGTAACCAGGAACGCTGACCACTAGACCCACAGCTGTCAGAAACTTGCACATTCGGTACTTACTGCTTTTCTCCAGGAAAGTATGTGTTTTTAAATGTGAAGAGGGAAAAATACACATATAGACATAAACTAAGGATGTCTGAGAATAGGATGCTGAGGAGAGCATTTGGACCTAAGAGAGAAGAAGTAACCAGAGGACAGAGAAAAATGCATAATGAGCAGCTCTATAGTTTGTAACCTCCAGCAAGTATAATTATGAGTGATCAGGTGAAGTAAGATGAGCTGCACAAGACATGTAGTACATGTGCAAATGAGAAATTTATACAAAACTTTTGCACAGACTGAAGTGGAGAGTACTTTTAAGATTTTAGCATAGCTGTGAGGATATTAAAACAGATCAGATAGAACAGAACAGGCTGACTGCATTTATGTCACTCAGGTTATAAGACCAATGGCCATTCTTTTTTTGAAGTTGTTAATAACATTTCAGGTAGCATAAAAACTGGAGAATTTCTTGATCACCTGAGAGACCACTGGCATCCAAAGTATTCCAAACAATGGACTTTATTAGTCAGTTACATGATCTGCCATCATATCTGTTCTTCTCTCCTAGTTCCTGACCCACAACTATCCTCGCTATTCTTTACTTCTGATAAATTAATAATTATCGCCCAAACTAAGCTTTAATAAAACTACAGGATGTACAATTTCAATTATGAACAGTATAAACAAACTTGAAAGTGACATCAATATTGTTGCCTTATTGAGTACTCCGCAGTGTATGTCTTGCTTGCACTTGCAGATTCCCTGCATAAACAGCAGCCTAGCAACTGGGGTCATGTTGACTCTAGTGCAATGAGGATAGCTGCCAAATCCATTTTTGTACTGCAGGACATGACTTTTGTTTGGCACATCCTGCATAGAGCACAACTTACCATCTTCATCTGTTCTCACTTCAAAAGGCTGACTTCGTATGCCATCTCCAGGGTCAGTGAAACATAGGACAGTAATATTGTAATCTGTGAATTTCTCGAGCCCGCCCATAACTGTACTCTGCTCTGCTAATGGGTCCAGTAGACTAGGGGGTACTGTCATGGATCGTGCATCTCGCTCAGTGGTCGCTGGATCACCTGTGACAAAGTACCATGATTTTTAAAGAAAAGACTACTCTCTGTAGCTAAATGTTCATACCATTTACATACAAATATGAACAATAAATAAAACAAAAAAAAACTCTAACAATACAATGTGATGCATAAATTAATGCTTGCAAGGACAGGTCAATGTGTAAGACAAGGCAGTGTCATCTTACAGCACCTGGAAGGACATTCTAAAACATATTTTTCTTTAAAATGAGAAAAAGTTAATGAAAATTGATTTGAAGTGTAAGGTAGGAACTGTTAGGGTAAGGGCACACCAAAGAAAGTGGTAATCACAATTCAATCACAACTTCAAAGAATTATTTTTTACTGAGTTGAACATATGGAACTGAGCAGAGCAGCATAAACTTGGGAAACGGCAATGTGATTGCAGCACAAATTGTGTAAGACTAAGAAACTCAACTTGCAGGCAACTGAGCAAGCCAGTCTTCTCACAGTCATATGAAGCATAGTTTCCTAGTTTCAGCTGTTCTAACATGCTTCTGAGATTCATTTGCTTCTCTAGATGGCATGAAAGGTTGATGGAGCTGCTAATTTCGTTTTTGTGCAGTTAATTGACCAAGAGCCTGGTGTATATGACAAACACCACCCAGACTATGCTAGGCAGGCCAAAATAGACTTGGCTTGGGAAAGAATTTTCCATGAGATGAATGAGTCTGACATGAAAATATATATTTCTTATAATCAAAGCTTATAATTGGACCCAAATACAGAATAGGTCTGCTACAGCAACGCAAAAAAAATAATAATAAAATATCGCCTATGCTGTGCTACAAATCAACTACTGGGTTAGCGCTCATCCTCCAAAATTTATCAGTTGAATTCAATTAATATAACGCCACTGAGATGGAACTGCTCCTGCTGGCATTAAGAAATACTCAGCCAGCTGATTCTGCTGGTACTGTGCCCTCGATAACCTCTGCCTTCCATCACATCAGCTTCATTTAAAATATGATGACTTGATTTATTGCATAGTTTTCAGTTCCTTCATAAAACAGCCCTTCCTGGGTTCTACTGCATAGTTTTCAATTCCTTCATAAAACAGCCCTTCCTAGGCTATACTGCATAGTTTTCAGTTCCTTCAAAAAACAGCCCTTCCTGGGTTCTACTGCATAGTTTTCAGTTCCTTCATAAAACAGCCCTTCCTGGGTTCTAACAAAATTGTGGAGGACAACAGATGCTTTTACAACTGAACACAGAGTTTCTTCTTTGCAGCTTATCGGTCCCTCAAATATCTTGAACTTGGCATTTAGTATACCAAATGCATATTCTAGACTTTTTCAAGCACTAGAAAGCCTGTAATTAAATACATGTCCTTTGTTAGCCAGCATTCTTTTGGGGTAAAAAGTAAGTAAAGGCATCCCTGTAACAGGTCATGGAGGCCCATAGGGTTGTGAGATGTTGAGGTTCCCATATTTTCTAGACAATCGGCTCATAGATGGTGGCAAGGTTGTCAGCCCTACGCGCCAGCCACCCTTTACCCCCAAGAACATTCCCAGAATATTCCTGGTAGTAATTTCTGTTAGAGTCTGAGTCGACCCCAGGGCCACAGTGCGGCTGGAAGGATTAGGTCAATTGAAAAATCCAATGACCTCATCGGGACTTGAACCCACAACCTTCTGGCTTGCAACATAGCGCCTCAACCAACTACGCTACCGCTTGCATTCTTTTTGGGTAAGGTCTCATTATATTTATTTTCAATGGAAGTGCTTCCGCTGCCATGAAATAGTAAGGAAATGTTTCACCACTTCATCCAGTGGCAGGGAAGTGGTCTTTCCTCTGCTGACACAGACATATGAAAATTTGTCTTTTTTTAAAACTTGAGATCCTCCAAGATCCACTAATAAAGAAAAGCTTTCAGTGCTCATTAGATATAAAGATTTAAACAGTTTTGAATCCTGGTTAATTTCCTTTGAAACAGTACAAGCACCTGAGTTTAAATTATTACTGAAGAAAGGATGCAACCAATATTTTATTTTCCAATTTCCTCATCTCATGCCATCTCAGCCACAACCAAATTATGGCAAAATCAGTTTTATTACCTGACATCGCAGAAAAGAAGTGCATGAAATTAAAAATTAAAATCACATATTACGCATACATACACCAACTTGAGCAACTAATCAAACAGAAGTTTTCTCAGCATGTGCATGCTAATATGGAAACTAGTTTCCTGCTCAAAATCTTTGAAGTTTCTTTGAAGTTGCAGTCTCATTGCAGTTGCCAGTTTCTTTGGTGTGCCCATGCCCTTAAAGTGAACACTGTAAATGGTGAATAAAGGAACGCTAATTAAAAATGACTAGAGGGCAACCTGACACTCTACTGAAACTAACAATTTTACTCTGCAGATGGAGGTAGCAATTTCTTTTCTTGTCTTGTCCCCCTATTCTATTGGAATCATTTCTGTTTTACACAGTCCATTCTTCCCACAATCTTTCCTTTTAGATTTCTTGCCAACTTTTTCCTCTCTTTTTTATGTCCTCCAGTACCTTGCTGAACCATCTTGATCTGGATTATTCCATGGATCTCATCTTTAAATCTGAGTTCTATTGTTTTTCTGAGTCCTTATTCTACCTGCTCTTTTTACCTGATATCACTGCTATCATTTCTCTTCTAACTCTCTCCACACATTTTGGATTCCAGCTCCTCTACAAATTTCATTCCTAACTCTACCCCTTCTTGAGAAGCTAATAGTTGCACAGCTGCTCAATAAATTACCAGCATTCTATGGAACCTGTACATTCATCATCATGTTCAAAGGATCCCATCGCTGGTCCCTACTTAAAGCAAGATAAAGTCAGAGCAAATCCTCACAACCTATTTATTCAAGATCCAATTTAATATTATCCTCCATAACATAACTTGGGATGGTCATATACAAGACATAAGTAAAAAATTGAGTATGGCCTGCTATATGATAAGAAATGTAAAACAAATGGTCTCCATGAAAACATTAAAAAGTGTTTATTTTTCAAATTTCCATTCTGTCATGTCATACGGTATAATGTTTGGGGTAACTCGTCTTATGCCAAGAGTTTTTAAGTTGCAAAAGAGAGTTGTAAGAATAATGAAAGGATGTGGCTCGAGAGATTCATGTAGAGGACATTTTAAGGATATGAATATATTTACTTTAAGAACACAATATACATATACACCTTGATGATGTTTGTAGTAAAAAACAGAAGAATATTTGATACAAACAAAGCTCACTATGAAATAAATACCAGACACATTATGGATATACATACGACCCAGGTTAATCTGGTGATATATGGAAATGGGGTGTATCATAAGGCTGTAAAAATATACAATGCACTTCCTGATACACTTAAGGAAACTTCTAATGATATAGAAAGGTTTAAGGGCAAGTTAAAGGAATTTTTGTATTTTAGTTCTTTTATACATTTGAAGAACTTTTTATGAGATAATACTTGTATAATTATATTATATTGAAATTTTAACCAACATGTTAGTTGACTAAGCTTTTTTGTAAATAATTTCAATTATCTGTTATAACAGATCTTATTTGATTATACCGATTTAAAGTTGTAAATATTATTATTTGTATTCTTTATTACTTTTATCTTATATTGTAAATTGGTTACTGTAATACAACTAATTTTATTCAACTTTTAAACTTGTCTTATATTATAAATTGGTTTTTAAAAAACTGTTGTATTGTATAAGCATGATTAGTAAATAATATTTGGATTGAATTTTTTATCTTAAAATTGTCATTGTCTTACTTATTATTTTCAAGATAAATTTTTATGTGTGATTTAAATATTGTATACTATAAACTTGTTATTTTGACAACTGCTTGATTTCTAAGCAAAATGAGTTTATATTTCTGGACGATTTCTATATCTATTGGTCTTTTCAACCTTGTAAGGATTTTATGGAATGTGAATAAATGAATGAATACCTACATCCTATTATCAGTCTCTTTCCTTCAGATTTTCCAATCAAATATTTAGATTTACTTCTGTCCTGTTCATGCTACATGTCTACCCATATCATTCTCCTTCATGCAATCATTCCACAACACTTGCTCAAATAATTTTGTATCCACTGCTTGGATTTTTTCTTTTCTCTCTTTTCGTTAGAGTCCATACTGGGGGATTATGAAAAGCCTTTGGGGGCAATGTGTCCCCTCAGAATGCTGGTTCACCTACCAGACTACATGGCACCATAACACCTTGAGCCTGAAAAATCAGACTTCTGTGTTGCTCCTACCTTTCCATGCTTGCAATTTGTATCCTTGATTTATTCCGTTGATCTTCTGAGGATCTGGGGGTTTCCACCAAACTTGCACTGCTGTAGAGTTGAGGGCTTGTGCACGAACATTCTCTGGGGGTGCCTCGGGAACTGAAACCCAGATCATTGTGACTTATCTCAATGCATAAAATTTCTGTACATTCTGCTTTTTTTTAATATATACTGGCTGCATTTCTTCTAGAAGGTAAAAAATGTAAAGCTATCCCTGTAATAGGCCATGGAGGCCCATAGGTTTGTAAGGTGTTGAGGCTCCAGCATTTTCCAGACAATCTGTTCATAGATGGCGGTGAGGTTGTCAGCCTTATGTGCGAGCTGGCTGCTCTTTACCCCCAGGTAGATTCCTGGTACTCACTTTTGTTAGAGGCTGAGTCAACCCCAGAGCCATTGGTGTGGCAGGAAGAATAAGTTCAATTGAAAAATCCAATGACCACACTGGGAATCAAACTCATGACCATCTGGCTTATAGCACAGTGTCTCAACCAACTATGCTACCGCATGCCCCTTTTTTGTAGATTATTAAATTAGATGGAGTTTCCACTGTATATAGTCTGGGTTATTGCACCCTCATTATATGAACTATAAACAAATACATACAAAGAGATCTGATCCATGCAGTTTTGCAAATACAACACACTGAAACTAAATCATGTACATCAAAGTTAAGGTACGTGAACAGCCCATATCTGTGAAGAGAGTTCCAATTTTGCAGTCAACTGTTCTGTTGGCAGCAAAATAAGATTTTTCCCTTTAGTCTTAAGAAAGTAACACATCCAGAAAACCATACAATTTATGAAGTTGCTAACATGCAGAGTGTTATAACCTTTCGTTCTCCTGCCAGCAACAGAAGACCACAGCAGACAGTACCACATACCTCCTTCTCTAGTTTTGATTTTTACTCCTTCACTGAAGACCCCAATGCCCATGTTATTATAAGCAGCAATCTCAATCTCATAGTCCTTCCAGGTGATCAGTTCTTTAATTAAGTAATTCCTCTGGGCCTGAAAATATAGCAAGTTTACCACTCCCGCAGTTTACCTTTCAAGGTATGAAACAAACACTATTATTAATTATAATACCATGCAAAATTCATTATATTTCCTTTCAGGAGCAGTGGATATAAAAATTCAATTGAGGAAAATCTTAAAAGGAGAAAATTTAACACAAATTGACTTAGGATCACTGAAGTTCTGTTTTAAGTAGGAGAATACCTTAGACCAAGAAACATTATATGTAGCACATGTACTGTACTTTAAATACTGAAATTAGGTCCTTAAGTTTCCAGAAGGGCATTTGCTACATTAAACCTACAAAACCAAAATAAGTGCCCATACTTCATCCATACTGCTTTCCCTCTGAAAATCACAGTACATAGTAATTAAAACTTTCAACAAGGAATGACACACAGAGTGAGACATTAAAGTTTACTCAGGTAATCAAAAGAAAAGATAGGAATGAGAACTAGAATTGCATAAAAAATTTTACATTACTGGCAAATCGCTTCAACAGCCATGACTACTCTCTGAACTAAATTTCATATAAACCGAGTGTGTCCTCTGTTGGATCAATGGTAGGAGGTTGGAAACATAACAGTTGCATTTCTGTATACACTAAACCATGTTTCATAAAAATATCAATTATGAAAAAGTATATTTCCAGGCCTGCTTTGCTAATTCTTATCACATTACTTACTGATGCCTTCAGAATCAGGAATATTTGGCATGTATACTTGTTGCTATGCAATGACTCTGAAATAAGCAACTATATAACAGCCACTGTTAAATAATGGGCAACAATTGCGCTGCAACAGAACAACGGTGTTTTCTATGTGGTGTGTAAAAATAAAAAAGTAAAGCTATCCCTGTAACAGGCTGTGAAGGCCCATAGGGTTGTGAGATGCTGAGGGTCCCACATTATCTAGACAATTGGCTCAAAGATGGCGGTAAGGCTGTCAGCCTTACACACTGGCCACGCTTTACTCCCCAGGAAAATTATTTAATTCTTGGTACTCATTTCTGTTAGAGGCTGAGTCGACCCCAGGGCCATAGTGCAGCTGGAAGGATTACGAGGTCAACTGAAAATAATCCAATGACCTCATCAGGACTTGAACCCATGACCTTCCGGCTTGTAGCATAGCCCCTCAACCAACTACGCCACTGCGTGCCCCCTTATGTGGTGCGCGCTGAGATGATATAAGCAGAGCCAGTTAGCTGTTACTGTGAGGTGGTCCACAAGAACCCTATGTAAGGGAGTTCAGTGCACCAGTGATATAAGCAGAGCCAGTTAGCTGTTACTGTGAGGTGGTCCACAAGAACCCTATGTAAGGGAGTTCAGTGCACCAGTGATATAAGCAGAGCCAGTTAGCTGTTACTGTGAGGTGGTCCACAAGAACCCTATGTAAGGGAGTTCAGTGCACCAGTGATATAAGCAGAGCCAGTTAGCTGTTACTGTGAGGTGGTCCACAAGAGCCCTATGTAAGGGAGTTCAGTGCACCAGACAAGTTACCTGTACCCCGCATGGAGGTGGGGTCGAACACCTCCACCATGACCCTGCAAGTTGTAGGAGGCGACAAAAAGGGAAGTCTCAAATCTGAGACAGTAAAATATGGTCACGAGTCCCAAGGGACTCGTACCCGAGGAAGACTGCCCAGGCAAGGGCCAGCAGCTTATACAAAAGACAGACCCGTTCTCTCGTCAGGGAGGGCACCCAACAAAAACAAGACCGTAACTGTCAAAGAGTAATAAATATCTGGTCATGAGCCGCAGATTGTTCTTGACACCAAGACTTACTGACTGACCGTCAGTCGCAATGTGACTTTGACTTTTTTGTTGCTGTGAGTTAGTGGAGAGAGTCAGTGAGAGAGTTTGTGAGTTGGATAGAGGACTGCTGGGGTTCAGTCATTGGGAGCTGTTGCTGTGAGAAGCTGGTACCTAAGGCCAACAACAGTTCAGGAACACAGAGGAAGGGACATGTCTGCCAATGGAAGCTGATACCAAGCAATGGCTAATGAAGACTGTAACAGACTTAGAAGACTTACAGTGTCCTACAGTAATTTGTAAAATGTACAGAAAAGTGAGAGCATAATCCTTATTTGTAGTTATGAGTCGTAAGGGTTCAGTAAATCTGCCTACCAATCAAAACCCTGTCAACAGTTACACAAAAATCATGACAATATACAGTGTCAGACCGAAGGAAAAGTGATGATTTGGAAGGAAGGAGTATTGGCATAAATGTGGTACTACCTTGTCTTTTGCCTGAAGAGGCTGAGGAAAACCACAAATAACCTCTGTCAGGATAACTGGCGAGCTGGCTGAGATTCAAACCGAGCACCCCCCCCACCCCGTATACAACTCTAGACCAACCTTCTGGGTGGTCTGTTACTAAAGCTCAAAGTAAGAACTACACACCTCATTTGTAATATTTCTGCTAGTCCAGGGACTCTCAACGTATCCATACAGACGGTATCGTATGACATAACCCAAGATCTGTCCATTTCTGTGCTCTTCCAATGGCGGCTGCCACTGGGTGATGATTTCAGATGGCGACCTGGCTGACCCCACAAACCCCAAGGGAGGACCAGAGGGGGCTGAAGCAAAAAAACAAAATCTCACATCATGATATAAATATCTTAACTACATGTATCTTGTTCTGTCACAACATATATTATATATGTAAAAAGTATATATTCTTAAGATTTGACTAGTTCATTGTGAATACACAAACTGCTTTACATGCTGCAGCCTGTTTTGGCCATCATCAAAGGTTTCATCACAATAATCTAATGGATTCCTACATTGTATTTGCAGATACAAACACACTGCTCTTCACAACTGGAATGTACTATTAGTAATACATCTTGATGTAATTAACTTTTATTTAACTAAGAAGTATCTTTGACTATAATTTTAAGGATACAGGATCCTTATCTAGATATATGTATGGTGAACATGGACTGTGTTTCCAATTAATGTTTATAAACATCTGATGATGGCCAAGACAGACAATAACATGCAAGGTAATTTGTGTATTCACGATAAACTAGTCACATCTGAAGCATATATGTTTTACATGTATAATATAAGCATTTTAAACTGAAGTAATATTATTTCTGCCATAAAACAATCATTACTTTCTGCAAATACAAGAATACCAATTTATAAGACATTTGCTATCTTACAGTAGTGAACCATGGATAGTGAGAGAAATTGATGAGAGAAGACTGATATTGGCAGAAATAAATTTCATGAGGACTACAGTTTACATACTTCTGGACCACAAAATAAATGAGAAATTGTGAGACAACTACAGATTCCAAAAATAACAGAATTTAAAGGCAATACAGATGAAGTTCAGAAAGAATACACTGATATGATGAGCTCTGACAGATTCCAAAATGGATGTTAAAATATCAACGAAAAAGGAAAGAAGTTTGAGAAGATGTCTGAAATGATAGAAGCGTTCTGTTTTCGAATACCCATAACAGGTCTCTGTGGAAAGGATGATGAAGGCAAAGACAAATCTTTGTGTGCACTGAGGACACAGTTATAACATTCAATAATACATTTTCATAAGATAAGATTCGGTAAGATTAATTGTATTCTGGTTCTATTCCTATGTCTTGACTTAGTTCTTTGTACTACTTATTTATCTAATATGACTTTTCCACATCCTGAGTATTGAATTTTATGGAAATAATAGATGAGTAATGAAAATGAAAAAAAGAGCTTGTACTGACGCCGGAAACCTTTGAGAGTTCTATAATAAGATGTCTTGGTTCTGCGTTGTTTTTGTAAACCGGGGAGTTTTTGTTGTATATATAGCTGATATGTTCTTTTTTTTTTCATTCGTTTTATATTATGAATGCCTTAACTTGTCACCCATTTTATACTGTGGATGAAATTTTTGTATATACTAGCTGGTAAGATTAATTGTATTGTGGTTCTATTCTTATGTCTTGACTTAGATTTTTGTACTACTTATTTATCTAATATGACTTTTCCACATCCTAAAGTATTGGTTTTTATGGAAATAATAGATGAGTAAAAAATAATATTACATCTTCTGTAAGTATATAACCCTTTGAGAAACATTTGCCTAAACATTTTAATATCAAGGAACAGAACAAAGAGATAGGATGGACAAATAGAAGCAACAAAGGAGAAAGCAGACAGAGTAGGGAATAAAAATAGGAAAGAAATGAAGGGAAGGAAGGGGGAGAGAAGTGACAATATAATAGAGAAAGAAAAGAAATGGGAAAGAAATATGGGAGAAATGAGGGAATAACTTGAAGGAAAGAAATATAGTGGGCGAAGGATGAAGATATAAAGGTAATGATTGCCCCCAAGAGATTAAACTGTGCCCTCAATAAGGTCACAGCCAGATGAGATATCCTATGGTCAACACACATGTATTACTGAATACGCTGATGATACTTTTGTCGTACCTTCTTGTGGTAAAGTGACGACATTACTGGCCTCTGATGGCGAGCCTTCCCCTACACTGTTGACAGCACTCACACGGAACTGGTATGATGTGGCTGCCTTCAGACTGGTCAACAAAACCCAGCGCTGTTGAGCAGACACATTGCTCAATTCAGTCACCCAGTTGGGAAGTGGATCAGCAATAGGTCCTACCAACATAACACAAATAATTAGCAACAGAGTAAAAAAGTCTGTCTCTCCTGCACATGCCAATATTACATGAGAAATATAACACATAAAGATAATCTGGGAGCATCTAAGTAACAGCCTGCACTCTCATTCAGAGGGACTCCAGTTAGACTTCTCAGCTTACACACTGAAACCTATGCCTCTGCTAAAGAGGGAATACCTGAGAACACCATCATTTCAGAAAAACATACTGCCAACCTTAAGATATAAAGAGTATGTTCTACTGAAATATTCGTACCCATCTACCAGATTATATGGTCAGAAGTCTAATTTTAATGTTCACACCTGTGAGAATCATCATCAATAAAGACATGACAAGGTGAAAAGTAAACTCATAATTACTACATGTTTGTTAATTATAAAAAATGAGGGAGACAAATGATAGAGAGCATCCATAAATCACATATGCAACTTAATGAAATCTGATTTGGTTCATCCTGGTCCGTCACACTAGCAGTATTATAAAAGGTTATCAACTCCATCCAGTGTGACTTTTCTTTCCTTTTTAATCTTTCATCCTTCATATATCTTAAGAAGGATATATCAATACAAGCAGAAACTACTATTACAATTTGACTGGTTGTTGTAAATAAACTAATTATAATAATTTATAAATATTTGATATATTCACATTGCTATACTTGTTAATGGATCAGACCTTATTCATGACATTGTAATGATATTAAATGTATGCATTGATATTGACCAATCAAACTGTAATAGCAGTTTCTGCTTGTATTGATATATCCTTCTGAAGATGGTCTCTCAGACTGAAACATATCAAGTATGAAAGATTAAAAAGGAGAAAAAAACATTTATCAATTACACTGGATGGAGGTGATAACTGTTTATAAATTAATGGAATACTAGAAATTCTATTTATCATGCCTGTTAAATAGTGTACAAGAACAAGTTAACGTATTAACACTTTGAATCCAATGGACAAAACAGAAAAATGTTTGAAGAAAAAGTTCATAAGCATGGATCCAGCAACAAATCATCTTACAATTTACTCAATGGCAAAACATATAATGATGCTATGGACACTCTATACAATGAGGTACAACTTTATATATATATATAAAAAAAAAAAGATAATGCAATAAACATAAATATTCCAAATTTTTCCCATTAGTTTGTGTTGAGTGCCACCTTCTTTCTTTTCTTGCTTCTTACACTACGAGTACACAAATCACAAGCCATGCTTTCCAAATGCAAAACATCCTCAGGCACAAGTTTCTACATCTTTATACATAAACACATCCTCAGCTATACGTGTCTACATTTACATACATAAACACATCCTCAGCTATGAGTGTCTACATTTATATACATAAAAACATCTTCAGCCGTGAGTTTCTAAATCTAGACATAGAAAGTAATAAAACTGCAATCATGTTACCTTTGCACTGTATGTGAAAGAATAATTATAAGTACAAGATTGTGCATTACCTAAGTCTGACACTTCCCGGCGCTGCACTATGAACTTTAGAGTCGGACTATTGCCATCGAACCCGGGTGTCCAGCTCACATTCACAGCCCTCTGAGACAGAGATTCCAAGCGGACTGCATGAACATTCACAGGAGAAAATGGCAGCTCAATAACACTAAGCCGGGCTGAACGGGTCTCATTTCCTCCCGGAGACATCACAGCACAAGTGTATTCTCCGACGTCAGCAGCTCTCACAGCCTGAATCTCCAGGGTACCATCACTTTGAATGGAGATGCGGGCACTGTTGCTGGCGCTAAGGACCCTGCGTGGATCATTTTATAATGGTGTAAATATCTAGAATTAAATAGCATAAAAAATGGTTGAATCACTGAAGAATGATGAATTTGGAAGGATCTGGGAGGTAACAGGCATGGCATAATAAAGATATTATTCTGGTACTTGCCTTGAAAGACTGAGAAAAACCACAAAAATAAACACAGTCTGTAAGATTTGAGGTTTTCACAGTGGTGACTATGAAGAATGTCTTCTTCTGGGATGTGGCACAATGTAGATCTTGTGTGAAACATCGGTTTACACAACATCTACATGGTGCCACATCCCAGAAGACGGCATTCTTCAAAACCTGTCAGTTGGTAACTCAGTTGAGATTCAAACCAAGTATCTCCCAAACATGAGTCTGGGGCATCCTCACCATGCCAACATATGCGGTACCAATAATGCTGTTGGCCTGATCAATGAGTGTACAAATTGAGTTAAAACAAAATTAGAAAGATCAGGGTGTTTTAGACTCAGTAGTGAGGTGAAGCAATAGAACTGTCATGACAGATGAAATTGCTAATAAAGTTAGAGAAGAATGCAGAAGACCAGACACAAAAAGTAACATTTGCAAAGGTTGTGTTCATTATCAAAATTTAATGCACTTTAGGTAAATAAATGTTGTATACTCAAAGGACCATATAAAACACATAAATACGTTGCACGGGAAAAGTGCAGGGCTTTTAATGTTAAACCAGGTGGTATATAAATTTACAAATTTGCTTTTAAGGGTTATATCTAAATAAAAATATAACTTAGCACACAATTGCTATTTATTTCTCATGGGCTTTATTCACAAGAGTGAGGAATCACCCAGGACAATTATATTTTCTAAAATTAACAGGCCATGGAGGCCAGTAGGGTTGTGAGACATCGAGGCTCATGCATGGCAGTGCAGTTAACAGCCTTACATGCCAGCTGCCTTTACCCCCAGGAATATACCTGATACTCAATTCTGTTAGAAACTGAGTCAACCCCAGGGCCATAGTGTGGCTTGAAGGATTAGGTCAATTGAAAATAATCCAATGACCTCATTGGGAATTGAACCCACAAACTTCTGGCTTCTAGCATAGTGCCCCACATATATGTAAGCATGTAAATTATCTCTAAGAGCACCACAGTAATATAACAGCAACATAAACAGTGAAATTAAATTAACAAAGGAAACATTAAAAATTAGTAACAGCCAGCAAATTCCTCTGTAGAAAACAGCATTATTAAGGCTGAGAATACATATGAAGTGGAAAATTGATGCAACAGGATGCTAAAATATAACATTGCTTTCAAGTCTCTTTATATCTAGTCACTGAACTCACTACAGTTAAATGTTATTTATCATAAATGGCAGCTTCCCTTGTCAATATCACAATATTGTCACATGTATAGGGTAGGCATGACAAAAATAATGGGTTCTACTTTGGAAGATTGGATTGGTTACAAGTTCTCTTAATCATGCTTAAATACAGGCAATACAGTGCTACTGCTGAATCTGTCTTCGCAGGAAATTGTTTACCAACATGTTGCCTAGCAATGGGTGTACATGCAACAATATATAGCAGCTCAAATTTTAAAGCAACAATGATGCTCAAATTAGGAAACTAAAATTTAGTCAAATAATGGAATTGAGGATGCAAATTATATCCAAAAACTCACCTGCAACACACATTGCTTTAAGAACTGTGGCAACAGTACATATTGGCAAGATTACAGATTAAAATTCATAATATCTTTATGTGTTCTCACTATATCAATGGTAAGAAACAAGAAACGGACAGGAAGAAACAGGAAAATTATACTCTTGTTGTGCATTACATCTAAAGTAAAAGGTAAAGTTAATTAATTAAGCACCATAGATTGCAGATATATGGCAAAGTGGAGGTATAGCTCCACCATTCTTAACCTGAGCACTAGATGGGAGTAGCCAAATTCATGCCCTGTCCATTCTAACCCCAGGAAAACAATCTCTGGTTCTCACTGTGAAGAAGGACAGGCCCACGAGACCGTCTGGATGCCATGAAGAAAAAACGAAAATCTCTTGCCCCTACCAGACACTCAACCCTAATTTCTCAGTCTTCCAGCCCACAGCCTAATCACTATACCTACTCATAATNACAGCAAGGTTATCTCATATGCCTTCTCTTATTGTTCCAAAATTAGGAAAGTAGACTATAGAGAACAGACTGCAGTAGATGTACGCCACTGTTAGGAATACATAGCCCAACTGTTGTGTAACTGAATCTTCTGTACTCACTCATTATTGTGGAACCATGCAATGTCAAATGGGACAGTTGGATCACTTGACACTTTACACTGAAGTGTAGCTGTGTGACCCAGCAAAACCTGAGTGTCCACTGGAGGCTGGATAATCTGTGTTCTCACTGTGGTCAGAGAAACAGAACAGTATGTCATGTACCACAGTCCAAACAACATACAAAATATTAAGCTTATACTCTTCTGGGATGTGACATCATATAGCATAGAAGACAGGTACCAACACTTCAAAACAACCTGCCATCTCTGCTGTCAGGACAGAAGAGTACCCACCACTGTTACTGTCAACACAAGGTGCAGTGGACTTAGTCAAGTGCACTACCTTATGTAAGGATTGTACGTAGTGCGTTCAAGTTCTAAGGTCTCCGATTTTTTCTCACACAATAATCACACAAAAAATTTGAAACTTCTGTCACTTTTCAACCTAATCTCCCTGCAGCCGTACACATTTTTCACAATATCAACGCCATGATTCCATGGCCACTGCGAACGCTTCTGTAGGAGTGTGTTTTGACCACTGGAAAATCGCTGATGCAATAGCGGCATGACTGGTGAATGTGCGACCACGGAGAGTGTCTTTCATCGTTGGGAAAAGCCAAAAATCGCTAGGAGCCAGGTCAGGTGAGTAGGGAGCATGAGAAACCACTTCAAGGTTGTTTTCACGAAGAAACTGCTGCATCACATATGCCCGATGCGCTGGTGCATTGTCCTGGTGAAAGAGCACACGTGCAGCCTTTTCCGGCCGTTTTTCTCGCAGTGCTGGATGGAGTTTGTTCTTCAAAACATCTTGGTAGGATGCACCTGTCACCATAGTGCCCTTTGGAATGCAATGAGTAAGGATTACGCCATCGCTCTCCCAAAACATGGCCACCATCATTTTTCCAGCACTGGCGCTTACCCGAAATTGTTTGGTGGCGGTGAGTCTCTGTGCTTCCATTGAGCTGACTGGCGTTTTGTTTCAGGATTGAAAAACGGCATCCACATCTCATCCATTGTCACAATTGATGAAAAGAAAGTCCCATTCATGCCTTCATCATGTGTCAACATCACCTGGCACCACACAAGTGGAGAAAACGAATGATTACTCGCTGTTCTTGTAACGAAAACGTCGCCATTTTAAGTATCAAAAACACTTCTCACGCTCGCGGCCGCCACTAGAGTTTTGTGTGCCGTACAGTGCTGTCATCTCTGTCACGCATTCACAAAGAGTACACATGTATATTAAACTAAACCGCATGTGCCTATCTGCTCCCAGTCCTGAGAAAAAAAAATTGGAGACCTCAGAACTTGAACGCCCCTCGTACAGTGTTTACGAGGTGGCATCTGAAAGTTCCCAGACTGTTGTAACTGCCTTGGTGAAAGAAAATGAGAGGGGAGGCCAAGGTTGCACTTCCACAAGCCTATTGCATTAGTCTTCCACATGAAGACTGTGAACATGCATTGTTTCTACAAGAGTGCTTTTTTTGACTTTGTGTTTCATTTTGTCTGTGATGGATGGCAAAATCGAGCAACATGTCTGCATCAAGTTTTGTGTGAAGCTTGGTAAATCTGCTACTGAAACCCTTCATGAGGCTTTTGGAGAACATTCTTTAAGTCAAACATCAGTTTTTGAATGGTATTCACGTTTCAAGGCCAGTCATGTGACAAACGTTCAGGGCGACCAAGCACCTGCAAAACGACAGAAAATGTTGAAAAAATTCCTTGTTCCTCCTAACACTACAGTAAACTCTGAATTTTACTGTGATTAGCATCCATTGTATATCTTCCATCAAAATTGCAACACTTTTACATTCTACACTTCAACATTACATGTTTCGGCCTCAAATGGCCATCTTCAGGTGTTTTTATGTTACAGGTATTTTACTAAAACTGTGTTAAAAACTGCTACACTGTTTTAATTCATGTTAAAATCACACACTGTAGACTTTTTAAGTAAAACGAGATAAAATCATTTAAAATTTCTGTTGCATATTATTTCACCTCACCCAGGGTGTTGTCATTTTCGTAAATGTATCAAGGTGTTTTTCTTGGCAGCTTGTCCCTCATGTTCATGGTCTACTTTCAGTTTTTGACTGTCATCTGTAATTTATAAATTCCTATATTAATGTTGTTTTCTATTTGTTGTTGTTGTTGTTGTTATTATGTTATGTTTGTTTACTTTTTTTACTCACATGCTCCTGGTTTGTGTGCACTTCCTCCTCAATGTGTGGTGTTGTCTTTACTAGTGCCGATGTGGTATGTTTGTTCCTGTATTTATGTGCCCTGGTTGTGAGGAGTGGGGTGAAATGGGGGAGGGGTGGGGGGATAGTGTTATGTTGTGTAATTTTGTATAGTATTTCAAATATAGTGTTGTGTGCGTCAATGTTTGTGTCAGTCATATGTAAATCTTTTTTACTAATTTGGTAAATATGGTATTTCTCAAGTGTATTTAGATGTTTTCGTTTTTTCTCCATTGTTATGGTTTCCATGGTGTCTGTTATTGTGCCGTACCTGTGTCCGGTATTCAATATATGAATTGAATATCCTGAGTTACTATTGTTATTTTTTATGTCGTGAATGTGTTCTTTACATCTGGTTTTGAATGTTCTCCCTGTTTGTCCAACATATTTCAATTGGCAATCTAAACATTTCATTTGAAGGACTCCACCTCTATTATACTTATCTATTTGTGACTGTGGCTTTAGTATATTTTGTATTGTGTTTCGCGTACAGAAAGCCACGTTTATTTCCGTATCTCAAAAAAGTTTTGTGATTATTCTTACTTCCTTTCCACTATACATAAAGGCTACCGTTTCTTGTTGCTGTGAGTTTTCTTGTGTGTTTTGTTTTTGTTTCTTCTGGGGGAGGGGGTTATTGCTAGTTAATTTTACATCATATTCATTATTGTGTGAATTTGAATTGTGTTCATTTCTTTGTCTTTTGCCTTTCTTGTTATTGGGTATGTATACAATCGATTTAGTAAATAGTTTATGCCTGATCGTTTGTGTTCGTGTGGGTGGCATGAACTGTTTGGTATTATAATGCCAGTTTGCGTAGGTTTTCGATATATTACAAATTCAAGGTTTTTGTCATTTTGATGTATTACTAGATCTAGGAACCTGATAGACTGATGATCTTCTTTCTCCATGGTTAAATTTATAGTTGGTTGTGTTTTGTTGAACTCATTAAGTGTGTCACCAATATTTGTTTTATTTTGATCATATATTATCAATATGTCATCAATGTATCTAAAATATGCAATTATTTGATGTTTTATTAGGATGGAATATATCTGTGTGTGCTCCATATGTTGTATGTATGTTTCTGCCAGTATTGATGATGTTGGTGCTCCCATTGGTAGTCTGTCTATTTGTTTGTAATATTCTTGGTCAAATTGGAAATAATTTTGTTCAGTTATTATACTTAACATTTTTATGATTTCTTTTTGTACATTCATCTCAGTTCCTAGATTTTCTAGTGTTTTATTTATTATGTTTTTAATACCCATTTTCGGTATGTTTGTATACATATTCTCTATATCAAATGAGCAAAGTTTCATATCCTTGTTTAGCACGATGTCTTATGTCTGTCATTAGCTACATGGAATTACAAACATTATATGTATTTGGTAATTGTAAGTAACTGTTTAATGTTTTTGCTAGTTGTTTTGCCTATTCGTAAGCAGGGGCATTTTTCCAATTGATTATAGGTCTAATAGGTGTGCTTTGTTTATGTAGTTTTATTGTAGCATGTAGATTCGGGGCTATGGGATTCATATTTGTGTATCTCCATCTGTGTTCTTTTTGTATGATGTTATTACAATGTTTTAATAATTGTTTTACGATTTTCTGGTATTGTTGGATTGGATCGTTTTTTATCTTTTGAAACTGGTTATCTTGTATGAAGCTTTTCACTTTGTGTTTGTACTCATCTTGTGTCAATATCACTAGTGTTTTTCCTTTGTCGGCTTTAGTTAGTATCAGTTTATTCTTAGAAATTTTGTTTTTTATGTTCATTATTTGTTTCCATTCATCTTTATTTTTTTTGCTGTTTGTGTTATTATTCCTATTAATACCTTTTATCTTTTTCGCCATGGCATGCCTATAGTAATTTTGTTCTGTTATATGAAGTTTACTTATTGCTGTTTCAGTTTCAAGGGCTAATGTTTTGATCCATTTCTTATTCTTTTGGTGTAAATTGTATTTCAAACCTTTGTTTAATAATTGTATTTCTTCGTGTGTGAATTGTATGTTTGTGCAGTTTTCCACTCTAGTATATTTGGTGTTACTGTTTGTTTTATCTGTATTTTGGGTTTTAATCATGTGTGTCAAATTTTCTTGTTATTTGTGGTACACTTTCTTTATTTCTTGTTGTAATTTATGATTTATGGATTTTTCAGGGTTATCCCATGTCTGTTGCCATATGTTTTCATTGTGTATGTGGGCATGGTACAGTTGTGTATTTAATTGCTGCTTCTTTTTATATAGGAATTTTATGTTTACTGTGATGTTTTCAGACACTTGAGAGAAAATGCGCGCTGAAAAAGACTGGAACTTCGGCGCAACCACAACTGGCTCTTTCATCGTGACGTGCCCACCCACACATTCATGAAACCCCCAGAGTTTGTGACTAACAACAAGACTGTTATCATTCCCCATCCTCCCTACTTGCCAGACTTAGCCCCTGTGATTTTGTAAGATTTGAGGCTTTCACGGCGGTGACTATGAAGAAAGCAGTCTTCTGGGATTTGGCACCGCGTATATGTGGTGTTAACTGACGTTCCTCCGAAATGTCAGTTAACACCACATATACACGGTGCCAAATCCCAGAAGACTGCTTTCTCCCTGTGATTTTGTTTTGAATCCCAAATTGAAAATGAAACTGAAGCAATGACATTTTGAAACACTGTCTGACATCCAAGGTACTTGACACCACTAAGGAAAACGACTACCATGGTGCCTTTGAAGCATGGAAAAAATTATAATATGGTTGTATACGTTCCCAATGAGACTATTTTGAAGAAGATGGCAGCAAAAATTGAGTAAATTAAACCAGAATTTCTTTTTTGACTTAGCCCAGGAACTTACTGATAGAACCTTGTATAGGGTGCAGCTGCTACTTCTTGCCA